TAAAATTCGTTAAAACTTATTGTACACCCCCAGCGCAGGTTAAACATCTACACCTCCGGTGTAGGTTAAGGATGCCCAATATTATATCACCGCCATAAATTCTACCCCCACGTGATCATAGAAATATTTGTCACCCGCGTCATACCTTCCGCGTTTCCAATCATATTCGTCACCTTTTATTCGTCACATGGTTAATTTATTAATGCCGTAATTCCGGCCAAATGTCACGTAAAGGTAGAATTTTTGATGGCGATACAGGGGTAAATAATAATATTCGCGGAATCACGTGATATATATACATTGATTTGTAGAGAGATGGCAGCGGCGCTATAAGTACGAACTCGCTTGATATTTTTAATTCCTATTCACAAACACCTTGCATATATTCGGGTTTTCTTTCATAAATTGCTTCTGTATTATCCGGAGATGTTGAGTGGCTTCACGGTATGCTCGACTCCTAAGAACTAATATAACTATTTTTCGAATCCTTCAGCATATTTATACCAACATAAAATTTCGTCTTGATTCGTCTTTGCAACAGTAATCCGCACGAGTTGCTTTTGATATAATCGGGCTAAACTTTGTGATGCAGATTCATCGGCATCCTCCTCAATATCATCAGCATTTTCAGCTTTCTCTCACTTAACAGGTGTAGATAACTCTTACAACAGTAATGTTCAAGGATCGATTACTCCTTTATAAATTAAGTAAATATGATTGCATCACGAAAACCTGGATCAAATGATGTTCACTTAACATATTGATCGCCAGTATTACGGTAAATTTCGAGAAAGAAATTATATTATCAACGCAATCATAATCAATACCTTATCATCAATCGCACGCGTACAAAGAATCGAGCTTTTGAATCAATGGAATTAATAATATGCGTTATTGCTTCATCGAGATCCGGTCAGTTGATATCCTGATTTTCCTTTATAGAAAATAATAAGCATTGCATTAATTGCATGAATTATAAACTCTCGCAATTACCTTTTGTTAGAATGACTCATCATTAACTTATAGGCAAATTCGATTATCGGAAAATGTCTGGCACAACGCAACCCCAAAGTTCATCATACGATGGACAACAGTGATGGAGCATTTGATCGCGACAAATTTATAAACTTTTTCTGGAATATTATAGATAAATACTTAAGAGGACGATACACGAAAGAAAACGTTCGTTTTCGTGTTTCATTATGAAAATAATCGTGAAACTAAACGTGTTACACTTCCATGATTATAGGATTGAGCTGGGATGGTATCAAACCCGAAAAGTAGCAAAATAAAAAAAAGAAATTTAACAGTTTTAAAAAAAAAAAATATTTTTGTTTTTCTGATTTTTTATTAAACCAATTGTAAAATTATTATAATAATTAGCAAAAACTTATATAATTTCTTGAAAGTGAAAATATTAATTTCATTAATAAGTTTATATTATATAAGTTAATGATTGCTTTTGAAACGATTTTTTACATTAAAAACATGTAAACATATTTTAAAATATATATTAATTGAATTAACAAAACCAAATATTTTGAGTTGATTGCCTTATAATGAATTATATACTTACTTGATAATGGAGAAGAAGATCTTATTTTTTTTTTTAAAAAAAGATATTACTCAAAATGGAATTTTTTTAGTTAAGAATTATCTTTTGACCTATAAGCACGCACGTAACCCGATTGATATCAAGTACTATTATTCTAATTTACAAAAGCTTTTAAGTATTTAATTATGACAACTAAGCTTAAGACTTTTCAAGAAAAGATAAATTCTGAAAGTTGAGTATTAGTAAAGTTGTAGTGAGATTATAACCTTTTAATATTTCAGAGTATCATCCAAATTTTTAATATTGTATGCCTTCTCTTGGATAATATACTTTTTAATTTAGATTTAGAGAAATAAATCAGCAGAAAATTATTTCTTCAATATACTTACAATTATCTTTTGGATGAGATACAGTATTTCACTAAATTCGCACGATAATTAGAAAAATTAGCAATTGACAATTGATGTTATGAAAGATAATTAATCTATAATATCATTGCTACTTACAAAATTTGTAAAATCAATAGTAAATGAATAATATTTCTTTGCATTTTATACATTGAGATTGATCGATAATTTCAAAAATCATACTAGTCGTTAAAAGCAATATAGACGTCTTCTGTAAATTCTAGAGCAAAGTGAACACTACTATTAACAACTCGTTGCAAATTTAAGTTCCTTTACTAGTC